ACTAAAGACATCTAATGTTACAGACGGATTGTAAATTGACCTTCTGGAGAAAGAAATGTTAATTAATGTTTTAATTAATAGCTTTTTCAGCGGAGATAATTCATTCAGCAGATGTAACTTTTAATGTTTAGTTGTATATAAAGAAAATAAATTTCATCAATCATCTTTGTTTATATTATTAATATTTTATCATTATCATCATTTTTTTTCCCTTCTTTTTTCTTTATTTGCTGCTTGGAATGTTCGTTACACGCATTGCTCCATTGGAACCTCTGTGGAAAAAACTACACTGTTATACACAAAGTGAAAAAAAAACTAAAGTAGTTGAGTTTTTTTTTTTGCTATATATGAATCAATGAAAAAAAATGTACTGTTATATAGCAACACAGTTTTCAAATCCTAATTGAAAGTGTACTAATATAATGGATAAGTCAGAACCAAGAAAACGTTCCAAACCATGCGTTAACATTGATTTTCCGTATTTTCACTGTAAACATCTATTTTTCACTGGTGCCTTGCCAGACTAGGCCTTCTTTCTTCAATGGAGATCGAAGTGTCGCGAATTGTAAGGTCAAAAAAGAGAAAACATATATGATATACAGAAAATCAATTCTTATCTATATAGACAATATCTATTTCCGTCTTGTGATATGAAAATTATCATATTTCATGAGTGGCAATACCACTCAATGAAAATAAATCCTGTCTTTATATCTCGAATGTAAATCACATCTTATTTTATTTTTTTATCATTACTGTATACATTTATACTGGGAAGACTTTTACGTTTTCCCACGTTTACATCATGTAAATTTTATTTTCAATGAGATATGTTTAGTTTAAACATATTTTATTTACAAGCATGCATTTACCATTTTACATCACAATATATATGAATTGGCATAACACTCAGAACACTAATATATATCGAGTTTCGTCTTGATTATTTCTCTTTATACTTTATATAATCAGTGCAATTGTTTTAAAGTTCAAAATTGATCTAAATTAATAAATTTTCGAAAAGTATTATGAGATATGATATGTTTACTTTAAGTAATAGAAAGAGCAACTATCTGATTTGTACGAGTATTAATCACATTTCCGAGTGCTCACTTTCTCAAACATAAAAATACGTTCCCTGTTGTCACAATATGAAACCCCGGGGAAAAGTAACCAATGAACGAGCATCTGAATATGATATTTCTGTCGCTTTCCCTTTCTCTTCCGTCACCCAAAAAAATTGAGCCAATCAAATTATGGGCCATGCTCTGGAGTGTCGGGTAACCATTACTGCACTCAATTACGCACTGTGCTGTTTAGTAATCGGAGATTTATAACTATGATACAATAAATGAGCCTCGTCACGACAAAACAACAATGGGTTTGCGACCAGCATGAAAGACACCTGCTATACAGACCATGATGTTCGATCAGCTTATTCTTAATAGAGTGGCGTAGAATCGAACAGCTGATCGGACAGACTTGCGGAAGCGCAGGCTGGTCTGTGATCATGTGTCGCAAACCTACTATGTTTGGTTTTGGTCGTGAGCGCGGCTCAAATAATAATAGTATGTAGTAATGGAGGTTACCTGTAAGTCATTATAGAATATATTTTTCGTTTGATTTAAAAGTTGGTTAATAATAATACCACAATTCAATTTCCTACTTCCAGTTCTGATGAAAGATGATTAACTGGATTTTCTAGAATAAAAATAACTTTCTGACGCATTGCGATATATATTGGACTTTTACCGAAAGGTATTGTGGTCATCTATGTTATTGCACAATCGAGTCGTGCACATTCGCACGATGCGTTGCTGTTATTTATACTTTTAATTTATAAATCTTATGTTTCTGACATGCATTTTGTGTATAACAAACAATACAGCAGATTTTAAGTTTCGTCTTTCTTTAAGTATTTATAAACAACTTATGACACTTAATAAGTCTATGAAGAATAATTTGAATTCTACAGAGTATCTTTGTTTAATCAACTAAACTGTAAAAATTAAACTGTAAATCCGTTATTGAATGAATCATTCTGCTTTTACTTGCCATCGCTTTGTGATTTGAAAGAATTTCATGCGAATAAAATAATGTAGATCTGTTTTTATTATAGATCTATTCTAGAATGCTCTTGTATCATACCATTGACAGTTTCTTTAGCATTTGTGATTGTGATACATGGGCTATTATTTGAGGAAGTGTCGAGCCTGTTGTGCTAGATGTGCTGCATTTTCATTTTAGATAAGAAGAAAAACAGTAGTAAATATGCAAACTTGTGCTTCTAAATGAAGCTTATTCAAAATATAATGAAAACTTCAATTTTTAAATGAATTTTGAAGCTGTGATTTAAGATCAGTGGTAAATACTAAAAATCGTTTAAATTTCAGCATTTTTTTTTATGGACAATATTAGTTCTTGCTTCCAAAACTTTATAAGCCGCTCTTTAACATTTTTGTTTTTCATCTGATGCGGCATTAAAGTTTTGGATTAGACCCGTTACGAAACCTAACCAGAATAACATTAGTTGATTTATTCTTGTTTTTCACTTGCAAATACACTTGACCGAATCAATTCTTGTGCATTTTACGATAAAACAATTATTTTAATATCATTCTATACCAATTAAAGTATCAAAATATTAATACCGTCATTAAAATTGCCTATTTAACTGTAAAACATCAATTTACGCCGACTACAGTCGGCCATGACATTCAGGTGCCACGCGAGACCTCGTATGACATCATTCGCTGGAACAGATTTGAATAGAGTCGTGTACTACATGTATATTTAGAACATTTTGTTGACATGATTTCAATATTTTTATTCAAGATAATGTTTTTATTTATTTTCATAAAATTTTCAGTTCTTCAATATGATTTTATTGAATATAAAAGTCAGTAAATCACCTTTTTCAATATCTTTAAAAAAAGTAATGTATAAAAATATTGGAGGCACATGGGTTCATAAAGGTCAATCTCGTAATCACGTGGTCAAACATTTTGGTAATATGGCGGCCAAGTGCCGAAATTTTTACCTGTCGGAAACTATTAGGTAGTTTTTGTTCCTAATAAGATTTTTATTTGTCCATCCTTGGCTTATCAACAGATTATATATAGTTTTATCAAGGTATGCTTCACTTTACTTCATGGCATGTTCGATGAATAAATACGAGCGTGTCAGATTCCTGGCACGATTATTGGTGGACTTTCCCTACGGGGTTATCTTCAGCGTTCACGTCATGTCATACTCATAGTATATAAACGGGTACGCTGAAGACCTTAAGCTAGGACAATATATCCTAGACTGATGTATATTCGCGGTATTTAAGGCACATTTGTGAGAAATAATGTGGAAAAAAGATATATAATAAATTAAACACATAATGTTTGCTAACTATTGCCTTTTTCAATTTCAAGTCTAATTTCAAGTCTGTTCAAGTTTCACCAACTTACACTCGTATTTGTCAGTGGTAACTTTAAATAATAAGCGTCTGTCATGACGGCCGCCATATTGGAACTGTATGTAAATTCGCGGACGACTTCAAATACGTCATTGTAGGTCAAATCAGTTCATATGACAAAAATTCCAGCCACTTTAAACTGAGAAAATATCAATTTTTCAGTATAATGTTGATTTTTTATATCTATTTCTTATTTGCAGTTTTATTTTGTAACCATGCAAGACGTAGTGAAAAAACTAAAACAGGCGATAAATTCGATTTTCATCTCCCCATATGACCCTCATTTCCGGCAAAAGATTCAAGTAGGTCAAGTGCTTGCACATTGTAATCTAAACATGTGATTACATCTTAAAGTTTGATGATGACATAAAAGTTATTCTGTCAATTATATTTTGGTCAAATAGGCTTAAAGTTAGACCTAATTATTTTTTAAATGAAGGAAATGACATTTTTTGCATTAGCTGATATGGGTATCCAAAATCGGTCATTAAATATATTCATAGCCTCGGTTTGGGAAAAAGGCATCCATGGCCGACTGACCTTCACATCTTGAAGAAATTTCCGGAAGTGGGAATTGTTTGACAAACTTTTCTAAGTTAATAAAAATGGATTACTTATAAGGTAGATATTTGGGCATAAGTAAAATCATGTTTTTTTTATACTTATTAGTAAATAAACAATAAACTGCCCATTTTTCTGTGATTTGTGATGGTTTGATACACGAAACATATGTAGACACATTTTGCGAGAAATATTACATCATTGTCGGGCAGGTGCGACGAGATTTTACGAGATTATCCAAATGTAAACAAAATCCGCGAATTTATATACACCGCGATTTTAGATACATCGACGATATGTAATCATAAGAATGACAGTTTCATCTGAAACGCCTTTAAAGCCAGTACTTAGTACTAGCAGGCACTGAAAATTAAACTTAAAAGCTTAAGGATTGTTTCTGCAAATTGTTGAAAGTAGCTGTTTGCCAATCATTCAGTTTTCATTAGCCTGGAGAAACAATTTCATAGTTCACCAATCACCATATAGTCATTTTCCAATGATAGATAGTCTTGTTATTAGATGCCTGAACCACTATCAACTAATTTTTTAGAAAAAAAGGGAAATGAGTAATGGACCCCTTCCTTTGTGTCTAAAACCAATATTTTTTCCCTCCCCCTTCACCATGTTATGTCCATACTGAATCGATTTTTTCCCAAAATAATTTAAATTTTTAAATATTTAACATTGACAATTATGTGACTAACCTAAAGGGGAGATTTATATCAATAAAAAAAATTGTTGGGGGAAATTTCCGATATAACAATATCCAGCAGATAAATTGATAATAAATTGTTTAAGAACAAAATATTCTGTATCATTTATACAAATGTTTTTAAAAAATCTTATAATAATATTCAAATGGTACATTTCTGTGGTTTTTATTTTTTTATCAATACATGCATTTTAAATGCTTTTATATGGAAATAATGTGCCCATAATAGACCAATCCACTTTAACCAAACACAATACTAATAAATGATTCTGATAGATGAACTGTTTTCATTGCAGTTGTATTCGACCAAAGAGCAGAAACAGCACAGTCATGTCGAAGACCAAAGCCCAGCAACCGGCTGTGATACACAAGGTTATTATGGTGGGAAGTGGAGGTGTCGGGAAATCCGCTCTAACCTTACAGTTTATGTATGATGAGGTAAATTTAGCTTGATTTTTTTTAAGCTCACAAAGACCGAGAGTTCAGGGTGAGCTTTTGTTATAACTGAGGAATGCAACAATGTTTGGTATACTATAAAAATGTCTGATATATTATAACAATGCCTGGTGTATTTTAACAATGGTCAATGACCAACATTTTTAGACAAGTCAGTTTTTTTTTTCTCTTTGCAAAAATGTTTTAGCCAGGTATCATGAAAGTTTATGTAATTCTGCTTTATAAAGAGTGAGGATTACTGAAGATGATGGTGATGATGAAGAAAGGAGATAAACCCGCTGATACCTATGCAGGGATCATTCTGGTCAGGATTTTTATGCTCCCCGAAAAAATTTCGGGGGAGCATATAGTCGCCGCCTTGTCCGTCCATCCGTCCGTCCGTCTTTCCGTCCGTCCGTCCGTCCGTCCGTCCCCTTTTCTTGTCCGGGACATAACTTTGAAACAACAAGAGGTATCAACATGTGAAACTTTGTAGGTAGATAGATCTCATTGAGTAGAAGTGCAGTGCACAAGAACCGTAACTCTGCCTTGCCTAATTTTTGAATTATTCCCCTTTGTTTATTTTTACACTTTTGAACTTTGTCCGGGACATAACTCTAAAAGTATAAGAGGTATCAACATGAAACTTTGTAGGTAGATAGATCTCATTGAGTAGAAGTGCAGTGCACAAGAACCATAACTCTGGCCTTGCCTAATTTTTGAATTATCCCCCCTTTGTTTTATTTTACACTTTGAACTTTGTCCGGGACATAACTCTAAAAGTATAAGAGGTATCAACATGAAACTTTGTAGGTAGATAGATCTCATTGATAAGTTTGCAGTGCACAAGAACCCGTAACTCTGCCTTGCCTAATTTTTTAATTACCCCCCTTTGTTTATTTTACACTTTGAAATTTGTCCGGGACATAACTCTAAAAGTATAAGAGGTATCAACATGAAACTTTGTAGGTAGATAGATCTCATTGAGTAGAAGTGCAGTGCACAAGAACCGTAACTCTGCCTTGCCCCTAATTTTTGAATTATCCCCCTTTTGTTTATTTTACACTTTGAACTTTGTCCGGGTGATAACTCTAAAAGTATAAGAGATATCAACATGAAACTTTGTAGGTAGATAGATCTCATTGAGAAGGTGTGCAGTGCACAAGAACCATAACTCTGCCTTGTTCTAAATTTTGAATTATCCCCCTTTGTTTATTTTACACTTTGAACTTTGTCCGGGACATAACTCTAAAAGTATAAGAGGTATCAACATGAAACTTTGTAGGTAGATAGATCTCATTGAGAAGGTGTGCAGTGCACAAGAACCATAACTCTGCCTTGTCTCAATTTTGAATTATCCCCCTTTGTTTATTTTACACTTTGAACTTTGTCTGGGACATAACTCTAAAAGTATAAGAGGTATCAACATGAAACTTTGTAGGTAGATAGATCTCATTGAGTAGGTGTGCAGTGAACAAGAACCGTAACTCTGCCTTGCCTACTTTTGTAGTTATTGCCCTTTGTTCATTTTGACACTTTGAACTTTGTCTGGGACATTACTCTAAAATTATAAGAGATATCAACATGAAACTTTGTAGATAGATAGGTCTCATTGGGTGGAAGTGCAGTGCTTAAGAATCATTACTCTGCCTTGCCTTATTTTGAAGTAATTGCCCTTTGTTTATTTTTACTTTTTGACTTTTGTCCTGGACATTACTTTAAAGAGAATTATTAGAGATATCAACATGAAACTTTGTAGGTAGCTAGATATAATTGGATAGAACTGCAACGCTTCAAGAACCTAAACAAAGCCTGGTCTAATTTTGGAGTAATTGCCCTTTGTTCATTTTTTTTATACTTTCCTGTGTCCAGAACCTTCTCGGGGAGCATCACCCGGTTCAACCGGTTCTTGTTAGTGAGAGATTTTCTCTCATTTGAGAAATTTTAATGAGAGAAATAAGATTTCCTTGAGAGATTTAATTTTCATGATGGGCGAGGTTAAAAATATGGAAATTTCTAACTTTTTAAAATCACTGTACATATAAACATTGTTTTATCTAATGAGGATATAAGAAAATGTAGCTCTGTTTATTACAGTGATTTTTGTTTTCACTTTTTTAAACACATCCTATGCATTTTCTTTTGTGAATTTTTTTTTAAACATAATAAAATAATAAATATAACACCTTTATTCTGAATAATAAAAGAATTATACATAGATATCATATCTACTACAACTATTATTGCAGCCAATGTTCCTAATGGACAACACTGTACTGTAACAGGAGTGATTGTTGAGATTTCAAGAATATTTTTTATAACCTTACATTTTGTTTTCTTTATGATTCTCTTCACACACCTCCCTCCATTAAAAAATATTCATTGAATATGTGACCTGAACACATAATGACAAATATCTCCATATCCACAAATACAAACAATACTAAAGTAATTTTTATTCATAAACATCATTTTTAGTGTTATAAAACACCTTTAAATAACACTCAGCTTCCTTTTAGTATTTTTTTAAATCACAACATCGCGAAAATATGTGACAAATGAATATTTGTCTTTTTTCCGCTGAACTATTCACAATTCTAGCTGTTGCTGATTGCAATTATATAAAATTAAATATTTTTGTTCAATAAAAGAATATTTATTATCGGCTATTTCATCAGGAATCGTAAAACAAAATTTTTAAATTTGTTCTTTACGGCAAAATTTACCGTGGTTGATAGACAAATTTTACCAGTATTTGTTTTTGACATGTCCATTTTTATGTTAGTCTGTGTCTAACAATTTTTATTAAAATCAATCAAAAGTGTTTTGTGTAAATTCTCGACTTACAGAGAGATAAAAGTTAGCCAACATACCGTATTTCTGTACAGTGAATTTGCGGTCTCCGATCGGCAATTATTTTAGGCTAAATAATTCAAAGTGTTGGACTGCTTTTTGGAGTTTTTTTACACCGATTTCATTAATTAACAATTTGAAATTAAAATTCTTGATGGGAATCGTGAATTTTTCATCATATTTTCGTGTAATTTTTAGCATTCTTTAAGATTGTGATTAGACATTTTCCGGCTTTTTAAATTGCCGTGCGAGATTTTCTCTCATTTCACAAATTTCTCTGAGATTTGGGATTTTTTTGCAAGAAATCGCGGAAATCGCCCCCTAGAAAGATCCCTGCCTATGTATACATTTATATGTTCTATTTCAGTTTGTTGAGGATTTCGAACCAACGAAGGCTGATTCGTACAGAAAGAAGGTGGTGCTTGACGGGGAAGAAGTACAGATTGATTACTGGACACTGCAGGTCAGGGGGGATTATGCGGCCATCAGGGACAACTATTTCCGAAGTGGAGAGGGTTTTCTTTGTGTGTGTTTTCAATCACAGAGCAGGAATCTTTTCAGGCAACGGCAGAATTCAGGTACAGTTGCAGATATTACCATTGACTTTTAGTCAAAATTAGTACAACCCCTGCAGAATAAAAACAACTTTTCTCTTGGGTTAGTAAAAATTCCCAGTTTATAATTAAGAATCCATAGATGTCAAGTCCGCCTTACTAGTAAATTTTAATCATAATTTTTATGAGTGGATTAACATGCAGCAATTACAGAAGAAATCTTGGCTGTTATCTTTGAAAATATAATTGAACTAGTTCACCATATTTCATGACTTTGTGTTTAATAACTGTCTCGCCTCTCGGTCAACAAAGATGGAAATGAGAGGCTACGGTCCTTGTCTCTTTTTATGCCCCCGGGCATATAGTAATTGAACCGTCCGTCCGTCTGTCCATCCGCACTCACAGGAGAGTAATTATGTGGCTAGAGGGACAATAGGTAACTATTCTTTCTCTTTGATGTCATTCATTCCGTAATGCTTTTATGTGGCTATTTTCATTTGTGTGGCTAAAAAGAACAATAGAGAGAACAATGGGAGTAGCCACATTATTACTCTCCTGTTAGAACGTCCGTCCGTCCATCTGTCCGTACGAGGTTAACCTAGAACGGCAAGTTGGATTTTTTCTTAAGTTCTACCTGTACAATGGCTTTTAGTATTTACACACTTACTAATCAATACAAGTACATGATCTGGGCAAGTTACATAACTATGGCTTCCATATTTGCCAAGTTATTGCCCTTTTCAGCACTTAGAAAATGAATAATGGTTAACCTAAAAAACGGCAAGTTGGAAATATCTTAAGTTCTATCTATACTAATGGCTTCATAATTTCCACACATACTTATCAATACAAAGAACATGATATTGCCAAGTTATATAACTGTGTCATCCATATTTCCAAGTTATTTCCCTTTTTTGGATTTATCGTAAATTTCTTAATTTATTTAATGATATCTTGCATATTTGGTAGATGGAAACCTTTCAAGTTACATTAAATGAATATGTGAAAATATTTTGCCGTCGGCCTAAAAATCAAACATTCTACAGTTTTATTAACCTGTTTAATAGTATTGTTGTAAATCTCATCAAATATTGTTCATAAATTAGGATTTTAAACGGGAAACCCCACGGTACCACTAAAGTTCGTATATGAATTTTAACATGCAAATGAAGACTATAATGAGCTCGTGTATGCGCTACGTCACAGTTTTATAGTTGCTATCCGGAACACAGCAAATGTGATATTTTCTTGTGCAAACACACTTTAACCGTTTAAGCTTCACGGTGCACTAAACCTGGGGTTCAGTAAAAGTAATAATCTCGTAAAAAGATTAAATTTGTATGAAAACATCCGTTACAATGCGGAAATATATCGTTAAATTAGGACTGCCACTTATAGTCATGTTTGTTGATTTAATATTGATGTACGGATGATCCGAAGGCGGAGTTTCTCATGCAAACAGAAATTGTATTTCCCATTTCACCACAATGAGGTTACCTATTTTTATGTTAATAAAACTCATTTTGGTTGTTTGGACACCAAAATAAGACCTGGAGTCGATATAAAACACAATTTATTAATGAAATGTCGCTATTTAGTTTTTTATGAAATTTATTAAATGTAACTTTAATGGTCCTCTAATTTTTTGTGGAGTAAGCGGTCTCTAGGGTCAAGGTCAAGGTCACTGGTTTAGAAAATGAATTTAAACATTTTTGCTCATACAGCATTTATTTTTTGGTTGATGTCTTTCATGTTTAATACAAACATGCCAAGGGAGGTCCTCCTTTAGGTATTGGTAGGGGTCATTTGGGTCAAGGTCAATGTCACCAATGTCAAGGTCACCAATGTTAAAAATAGATTTTTACATTTTTACAGATGTATTAACCATATTCTACAGACAGATGTCATTTATAATTGATAGGAACATAAAATTTGATGGAGTTAGTGGTCAGTTGGGTCAAGGTCACAGTGCTAAAAATAGATTTTTACACTTTTGCTCATACAGCCTTTATTTATTGACAGATATATTTCATATTTGGTAGAAAGATAACTTGCATGGTATTCATCCTTTTGATTGGGGTAGGGATCAGTGGGTCAAGGTCACTGTGCTAAAAATAGATTTTTACACTTTTGCCCATACAGGCTTTATTTATTGACAGGTGTATTTCATATTTGATAGGAAGATAACTTGCAATGTATTCTATCTTTTGATTGAGTTAGGGATCAGTGTGTCAAGGTCACTAGTGCTAAAAATAGAATTTTACACTTTTGCCTATACAGCCTTTATTTATTGACAGATATATTTCATATTTGGTAGGAAGATAACTTGCATGTTATTCTTACTTTGGATAAGTTAGGGGTCAGTTGGGTCAAGGTCACAAGTGCTAAAAATAGATTTTTACACTTTTGCCAATACAGCCTTTATTTATTGACAGATTTAATTCATATTTGGTAGGAAGATAACTTACATGGTATTCTTCCTTTGTATGGAGTTAGAGGTCAGTTTGATCAAGGTCATCAATGCTCAAAACAGATTTTAACATTTTTTGCCCATACAGCCTTTAGTTATTGACAGGTGTATTTCATATTTGGTTTGAAGATAACTTGCATGCTATATTCTATAGGTGTCAGTGGGTCAAGGTCAAGGGTGCCAAGTATAGATTTCTTACATTTATATATATTTGATAAAGTTGAATATTTATCACTTCACAAGTCATAGCAATGACTTGGCAACTTAAATATTTCAAAATTACAAAATGCCATGACTCTGTCAAGCTATATGACTTGTGTTTACAATTTTTTGGCAATGTTTCTGTCCATAACTGAGTGAATGGGTAAACATTTTTTGAAATATTGCTACTGACAAGAATCGGAGCCGGGGGCATTTGTGTTTAACAAACACGTTCTTGTTTTTGTACAAAATGGGAAAATAAATTCTACATTATGTCTGCCCTGTAAGCTTAATACGGAGAGCATCAGATTAGTAATATAGAGGTCGCTGGTTTGATCCCCTGGCAAAATGATTTCTCCATGACAGTTGATCAGACATTTAGTCTAATGGTCCTTTGCCTTTCAACCCTGATTCAGAAATTGTATGGGAAAAGTAGTCTGTCGCTTTTAAAAAAAAAATTGGTTATTATTGTTTAGTTATCCTTGGAAAGCCGATTTCGTTAATAGACAGTTATCTAGGAATAAAGATTAGGCAGATTTGACAGCTAAAATAATTATTATCGGAGAGATATGTTAAGAGATATGTAAAAGTCAGCATAAAAACCAGAAAAGCTAAATAATTTTCAAATTAAATAGGTTTTGAATGGGCTATTGCCTGCCAGTAGCTTAAAACTTCGAGTGCAATATTGACTCATGCACTGTCACCAGTTTATATTCAGCATGTATGTCTACTTTAGCTATTTAGATTCCATATACTAATGCTGAAAGCCCCTGAAATAAAATGAACATTTTTAAATCTCATACATGGCTTAGTTTAAATGGTGGAGGGTGACAGGGTATAGCATAAAAGTGAAGCAAAAGATTATTAGGGTCACTATTCCCAAATCCCATCAGTTGAAAAATTGAGTATTTTAGTAAAAAGGTTCACTACACTGTGTAGTATGTCTGTATGAAAGTATGTCAAAGACACCGTAAATTAAAGGTACCTGTAACAGCCCTTATGAGGAAAACCATCTTTACATTTATATGCATTTATGTTGTTAAAAAAAGGTTCAGAAAGGGAATTAATATGATATTGGAAGATTGGATAGAAGTTAAATGAAATTTGTACATAGAGTTTTCATAAGGAGGCAACTGTAGGCCATAATAATAACTGTCTCAAATGTATTTGAGGTGCTTAAAAAAAAAAAGAATGCCGCAAACTTCTTTTTCCCCCTTATTCTTAAAAAATTTTATTATTTAAGGGGGAAAAATTTAATTTTTGGAATAGCAAGTTTTAAACCAGAAATGTGTTAGTTTATTTTAAAAATTTATTTTTTTGCATCCGCGATAATTGCTGTAGCCCAAAAACAAATTATGCTTGTTATTTAGTATAACCAGAAAAACCCAAAAATTGTTTTGATAAAAAAATAGTACAATGGGAACATTATTACATTTATCAAAAATTTTTTCCCCGCCTCCCAACAAAATTGGCTTAAAAAAGGGGGTTTTGAAATTTTTCAAAAAACCCCGAGTTTTACATAAACTGTTTTAATTTTTTTGGATTTTTTTTGGTTACCACTTAGAACTTTTTTGGGGCATACAATTTTTTTTCTTGTCGGGAACAAAACTTATTGTTGTACTTCTTTTATGTTATTCTACGGTCAAGACCAATATTATGTCATATTGAAATATTACCTTCACTTTTGAGGTTGACCTTCAAGGTCAAATGAAAAGGTTTTATAAACATATCTTGATTAGGCACTTCAGCTTTGCATTGGCAAGCTTGATAGCTGCTTTATCATGTAGGAAAGCAAAAGTTCCTTCTTCTTGGTTATTGAAGGTTCAATCTGGGTGATAAGGTTCTGTCTTGGTATTGAAGGTTCCTTCTGGGTGATAAGGTTCAGTCTTGGTATTGAAGGTTCCTTCTGGGTGATAAGGTTCCGTCTTGGTATTGAAGGTTCCTTCTGGGTGTTGAATGTTCCTTTTTGGTTATTGAAGGTTCCTTCTTGGTGTTGAAGATTATTTCTTGTTGTTAAAGATTCCTTCTTGGTTGTTGAAGGTTCCTTCTTGGTTATTGAAGGTTCCTTCTTGGTTGTTGAAGGTTCCTTCTTGGTTATTTATGGTTCCTTTTGGTGGGCATTTAAGGTTCCTTATTGGTGTTAAAGGCTCCTCCTGGGTGTTGTAGGGTCCCTCTGGGTGTAGAAGGATCCTTGTTGGTTGCTTAAGGTTCTTTCTTGGTGTTGAAGGTTTTTGAACCCATAGTAATGAGATAAAATTAATTTGAAGACTGTGACTTTGTTCTAATGGTCATTTAATGTGGCAGTCATAACCACAATACATGCCAATATAATAAACAGGGAAGTGGAAATTAA